GTGCGGGCTCTTCGCATAGATTTCGTCCTGGAGCATGGCGCCTGGGGGAAAAAAAGCTTGCGCTCCGGTCGGCTGTGCTCCATCATGCCTGAGTCAGTCTTCCATGTAGCGCACCCATGTACTTCACCCTCCCCGCAGGACTCTGGATGTGGGCGACTCTCTTTATCTTCGGCAGGCCCGGGGGGCAGTTTTAGCACATGCACGCTGACACGATGACCATGGATATTGTGCATTAAGCTGGTTTTGTGCATCAGACTCAACAGCCGCCTCAATGTCTTGCGTTCGGTTCGAGCGTACTGTGCGTGACTCAGGCTATCCACACAACGGCTTCGGGCAAGCGGATGCCGCCGTGTCCTCGTAGGGTTCTCCAAGGGCTACAGATTCAGGGGACTTGACGACAAGAGCAGTTTTCTTTGGGGTCCTGCCTGCATATGGTTGCGGCATGAAAATCTCGAGGCGTCCTCTTTTTCTCACGCCGAGAGCGCTGGTTCAGGAGTCAGTGTTGCATTAGCAAATTCAAGCTGTGCGTGCTTTGGGATCCAGGTCAGGAAGCATTGAGAGCCTCGTGCCGTGATTCTGTCCGTACTCATGTACTTGCATTACTGCTCCGGCTATGACTTGGTGTCTATGCAGACTCGCATACCTTTCAAGTTTTTGTGTATGCAGGAATGAAGTCACGTTCCACTTCGGTGTCAGAGCATTAAACTCACTAGACTCTCCAGTTTGAGGTTCTTCTTCGCTGGGCCAGGGATGCCGGGGTCCCCGGGGTGAGACGACGACACAGGAGTCCGCAGCCGTTGGACGCTAGATCCAGCCATTATCCTCAAGTGTCATATGTGTTGCAGCAGAAAGGGCAGTAAAGGTGTTCTTCGCAGAGGCGTCTCTTCCCACAGTCAGAGCAGAACTTTGCCTTCTTCGGTGGCAGGACTCTTCCGTCCACTGCCACGGAGGCTGACAAGGCGGGCTTGGAATCTGTTATTGCAGCCGATGTAGGATGGGAGAAGACTTGGGCGAAGGAGTCCTCGACACACCTTCGTTGCCGTTTTGGCGTAGGTCTGTCATAGTAGCGGTCAATGGTCTCAGTTGATGTCGCGGCAATGGCCGAGACGACTTTAGGAGCATGCCCCTGCTCCCTCATGAGAGTAATCCCGCTTGCTTTGAAGGTGTGAGTGCCGAGCTTCCGTAAGTCCACGCCTTCCATAACATGGCCACCGCTAGATAGTCGACGCTCCTTCTCCAGCAGCATAGCCACCACAGATATTGCCTTCAGGTAGCCTCGCTCCGAGACTGGTCGCCTCCAGTCACGCTGGCCGTGGTTCCGGCCTCGAGTCACCATGCCTGGGAAGAGGTACATCTCGTGGAGAGATAGGTCTTGTCCCTGGTACGGCCATTGCGTCTTGCCAGCTCCTCTCAGAGGCTCATGATGCATCCAATCGAACAAAGCATGGGCGAAGTCTTTGGCTAGAGGGGTCGTTCTGCAAACTGTCTTGAGATTGACTTTCTTAATCCTGATCTGTGCTGGCTTGCCGAGGCTATAATCCAAGTCCTTCAACCATGACAGTTGAATTTGTCGAGCACAGTCTGCTCTTTCTGCCAGCATTGTCTGCAGCAGGGTGAGCACGGCCAGCCAGGGGTAGCCTGCACGTAGGCAAGCTTGAAAGAAGTGACGTAGTTGTGACTCGTCCAATACCTCGCGCTGCCCTCGCTGCGTCGACCTAGCTTCAGCTTTGCAAAGACGAAGGTGCGCCTCGCAGCAGAACCGGAGTTCCGCGCAGTGCGACCGGACAGCCCGGCACTGAGAGGCTATCGCTTCTGTCTGGGTCAGGCGGAGGCTTGCGCTCACGTTCTTGACATCCCGAGAGCAGTGACAGTGCTTGTAAGCGCATGCTATTTTGACCGTGCTTTTGGGATCGCGTAGTGGACCTCGACGCTTCTGTGATTCTGCCATGCTCAAGCAAGAGTGGCCACCATGCTGCAGCCGTGGTTTTCTTTGCTTTGTCCTATTCTGCACTGGCTAGGCATAGGATACTAGGGCATAGCGAGATTTCCTGTTGTCGGTTTTCTGGCAGTTCCTAGCTATAGCTTCGGTGCTAGGCGACATGGCCCGCGGCAAGTGGAACAGGCAGCCTTGCAAAGGCACTCCGGAAGATGTCAGGCAGCATGTGTCCAGTTGCAAGACAGCAGATTGTGCGTGCCACTCTGCCGGGCATCACCTGCCATCCCTGCAAGAAAAGTGCCAGTTGATCAGCCCCCAAGTGCTGGAGGCTTTAGGGGAAGCTCCCCCAGAGACTCTGGAGAAGGCGCAGGACTTGCTGGGCAAATCCTGGCTGACCTACGAGTTTCAAGGCGAGCCTCAGCGCATGCTGCTTGGGTGCAGTGTGTGCTCTGGCGACAAAGGAGTCCAGTTTACGACTCAGCAGGCTGCCGCTGCCAATAAGCTGGCCAGGCATGGCAGTGGACCGGAGCATGTGCGGAACGTGTGCAAGTTATTGGGTTACGAGGTTCCCGCCAAAGAAACAGCTGCAGTGCGATGGCCTGGGGCGGAAGTCGTTCTCCAAGTCTTCAGACAGTTGCAGAGGGATACCACGGACCGTTTTGTAGAAGGTGTGTCGGCCGAGAAGAAAACCAGTCGGATCGAATGGTGCATCGTCGAATCCGCGCGCAAGCGCTGGAGGGAATCCCTGCGAAATGCTGTGGCTATTTGCTTGTTGAGAGACGAAAGACACAAGCGTGTTTTGCTTCGATTCCGGGCGGTGGACAAGACCTTGCAGGTCACGAACGGGGTTCTGGGCCAACTAAAGGGCGACTACTCCAGCACCGCCTTCGGATTGACCGCGGCGACTCTCAGGGTCATCCGGGAATTTGCGACGCCTGGTTTGGCTCGGCCTGGGATGAATGGGGAGGAGCTGGAGGTGGACGAGTCCCTTGTTCAACACATTCGTGAGTGTGTGCTGTCCACCACGATTGATGCAGCTGGGAATGAGGTGGCCGCTGTTCAAGACTCGGCAGCACCACTTGAAGTCCATTGCCAGCACTTGGCCGAGGGAGAGACGCTGTTCCCAAACCACAAATTGATTGTGCGGGACCGCGCGCATGGGACCAGACGGGTGCTGGAGCGGCCCTGGAGGGCCGACCCCTTTCTTGATGCAGTCATGACCTCCTTGATCACTGGGTCCAGTAGTGTGACTCAGTTGATTGAACACAGCTTCGATTTCAAACAGTGGTTTGCAGACGCGTCCAAGGCCTCAGCAACACGAGCTGTGGCCACTCCATTCCGCAATCTGCGTGCGGCCTTGCATCGTTACGAATCATTGGTGACACCTCTCAGCCGATTCGTCCTGGATGTTGAAGCCGTCCTGGCTGTGGCTACTCGTATGGTAGGGGAGCGTGCTGGCACCCACGCAGCCTATTGCGCTGAGGCATTTCTGGATGCAATGGACAGCGAGGTGTTGCTGACAGCAGCACTCCTAGCAGATGGGGGGGACGAAGCCCTACAGCTCATTAGATGGATGGATCAAGAGGAGAACGTTGTGGATGCAGCCCGTGCAAACATTCAGGTGAAAAAATTCCTGGACTCCATCAAGCTACTCTTTACTGAGGGCAGAGTGCTGGCCGTCAAAGGCCACACACAGTGCATGCTGACATGGTTGTCGTCGCCTCATGTGCTGGCCTACAACTCCAAGGTCAGAGCCTTGGGAGGTCCAACCGCTTGTCCAGTGCGGCTGCAGCAGGCTTGCCTGCGGAGGCTCCAAGTCTGGGCTGCGTTGGCAGAGGAAACGGTCAGGGCAGAATTTCCGGAATTCGAAGCCGTGGCGGCGATGCGTGTGCTCAATGTGTGTGATCCCTGGCCTGCGCTCGATAGCTTGTCTTCCTCGGACAGCGAGAACATCCCTGCAGATGCCTGCACAGATTTGGAGCGCCTGGCTCAGTCGTTCGATTGTAACTTTGCCGCCCTCAAAGCGGAATGGATGGACTTTCGTGGGAGAGCTCGCTGGCACGCTGTGAAGTCTGGCTGCACAAATACCTGTGCGTGGAAGAAGGCTATAGAGGAATGCCAGGAGCAGAGTTGGGTCAATTGTGTCCTTGTGTCAGTTTTGTTTGCTAGGGCGTAGGCGACATTATCGTTGGAGGCTTTCCCCAAACTTGAATTCTGCCAGGAGAGAAGAGAGACCGCCGCCCGACACCCCTGCGACTGTCTGAACGTGGTCCTTTGCGGCTATGCCAGCACATGCATTTCCGACTCAGCCCTGGAGCGCTCCTTCTCCCAGGCAGCCGCCAAGATTCCAGCCTCGGCGAGGCACCTTCACCCGCAGAAGGAAAGCCTGCGCATGTCTTTCTTGGCTTTGAAAGAAGACGATGTCCGTTCCAGCATGGAACTGCTGGCCAATCTCTGGAAGCAGCACTTTGGCTCCTGCCGCCAGGGTGCTTTCGATCGCATTGACCAAGGCCGTGCCAAACCTACCAAAGTTGCGACCAACGATCGAGAGAGCTACAAAGAATTTATCAAGGCCCGCAGAAAGAATGTGGCAGAAGTGGTGCAATCAACTGCACCTGCAGAGTCCGCAAGTGTTCCCCAGGGTGATGCGTGGCTGGAGTCCCACCAAAAGGAGCTAGAATTCAATCGAGACAAGCGCAAAAAAAGGAAGTTCGAGGCACTGTTTGCCGGAGCCCTACTGGAAGACGAGATGGATCTCACCTTCCTTGGTGATGCTGCCGAGGTCAAGGCCACGATGCAGAAGAATCGTCGTGCCCGGCAACGCAAAGAGCAGCGACTGCAGTCGGACATGACCGCTGGCAAAGTGCCGAGCATGGCGGACATGCGTGACTGCCACGTATACATGTTGGAGAGAGACAGAACACCTGCCGTGGACAACTTGGCAATTGATCTGGGTTGGACTTGGGCTGCCGATCCTTGCAGTGCCCAGATTTGCCTCACGGATTTGTCAGGTGTTCACAACCATGGCGTTCCTACGTCGGCTATATGGGCGGCTGCTATGCAGGGTGCGTGGGTCATGAGCCCAGATTGGGCTTTGGGTGGCGATTACACAGGTCCTGCGTTGAAGTTCTTGCCACCCCTGCGCACGAAGAGATTCCTGTGGATCAGTCCAGATTTGGCCGAATCCGCCGCAGGTGTTTGTGATGTCCTACGTCGCTGTGCCTCATCAGCCGGCTCCAAGTGGATCGTGGTCAATGACTTGGAAGCATGGCTAGAAAGGAAGCAAGACCTGACACAGAAGAGCAATGCTGCTGCGGCAGTTGCAGCCGTGACGACGGAGGAAGCATCTATGTACAGCGATGTTCCCCATGTCTTTGATTTAAGCCGTTTCTTCCAGTTCGTGTGCAGGTTAGACAAGCAGAAATCTCGCTTGGCCCTAGGTCTTCTCTAAGCTTGTCACGTGCATGCTTTCAATTCAGTGCCTGGCTGGGCATCCCACAACATAATGAGCGAGACCCATACATCGGCTAGTCTATACTGTCGATCAACCGCACCAAAACAGAAGTCATAGACCCTGTGCGCTGCTGCCGGCAACAGCTGCAGCACGTGTCTGGCCATAGCACACAATGCAGTACGCATCGTCGGGGGAATGAGGGGGAAAATGTTCAGCAACCGAATGCACACGTACAGACGACATGAGACCATTGATCGCTCCCCTTTTCTTTTCCGTGACTGAGGCCGCTGGCGTCATGGTCCCAGGGCCGAGCAAGGCGTGGCCACGGTTTGCCTAGAGTATGAGGTGTGCTTCCAAGTGATGCATGTGGGAGGGCTATGTCGCCGGAGTCATCTAGAACGTCAGGGTTAGCTTAGCATTTCTAGTGCTAATCAGTGCAGGTCGAGGAGACATCGGGGTTTGCCTTAATCCTGGTTATCGGCAGGAAGCATGTCTGGTGGGATTGCCCTGCGGAGCCACTTGCACCCAGCTTGTCTCTCGAAGTCAATCGCAGGCTAGGACGGCGGCGAGCCATGCCGAAGCGCAAGTTGGCGCAATGTGCCGCAGCAGCCGTGCAGCCTGGCACAGCACCCACGGCAGTTACTCTGGGAACGGATTTCTCAGGGCTGGATGGAGTGTGCTTCGCTCTGCGACGGCTCGGTGTACGGTTTGAGCATGTGTTCAGCTGCGAGACGGACCAGGCAGCACGCAAATTCATCAGGCATGCTCACCAGCCACGCCTGCTGGAACCAGATGTGCGGAGCAGAGACTATGACACCGAAGGCAAGGCTCCACCCACAGTGAAGCTTTATGTCGCCGGACCCCCTTGTCAACCATTTAGTGCAGCTGGCCGAAGAAAAGGATTCTCGGACGACCGAGGCATGCTGCTGTGGAGTTCAGTCGATTACATAGTGTCCAGACGTCCCGTGGCAGTTCTCCTAGAAAACACGGACAGACTGCAGCAGGAAGAGGGCCTCGATGTGATCTGCGGCATCCTGACAGATGCAGGGTACAGCTGGAAATGGATGCNNCTACCTCCAAGCCGTGCTTTCTGCGGAGCTTCGGCAACCCTTGACATTCCCCCCTGGGCTCTGCAAGAAAGACACTCCGCCTCTCAGCACCTTCCTGAGGAAGTCGAACCCGCCGCCCGTTGCTGTCCTGCCAGAGCATCAGGCACACGCGCGGCGGGTGCAGTCGGAGATGGAGAAGCATGCTGAGAGGGGCTTGAATCCCTTTGTCACAGGCCTGTGCATTGATTGCGGTTCGTCAGATAAGTGGGTTGGCAGCGCAGTGGAGCATGCCATGACCCTCACCAAATCCCGGTGCCAGGACTTTGGCCATTGGCTTACCAGCCAGGGCCGTTATCTAGATCTAGACGATTACAGCAAACTTCAAGGCTACGACCCGGACATGCTCGATTTTGCAGGTGCAGGAGTCAAACGCACCCAGGGGGCGGCTATGCTAGGAAATGCGATGTCGCTGAACATCCTGGAGTTTGTGCTGCCGGAGCTGTTGCATTCTGCAGGATTGATAAGCTCGAGCGAGTACGAGACTGCAAAAACCAGAGTCAAACGACGCTGGACTTAGACTGCTGTTCTGCTACCTGCATGTCTCTGTCTCTCTAGCACAATTTTGGGATCCGCACCGATGACCTAGGCTACCTGCCGTGAAAAAAAAAGGACATCTTCAATGTAAACGTGCGTGTGATTCTACTGCGACTTGCACAATAATCCTGGTCGTGCCACCCGACAATAGTTTCTAGCGCTCGGCGGCCTGTTGCAGTGACCAGGTGCCACGTCCTCGTTGCTTCGGCTGCCGCAGGCGCCTGCGACAGTTGCATTCCGGGTCCATTGTCGAGGTGCTCTTCTGCGGGCAGACACGTCTCTAGAGTCGGTGGGTGCATGGGGGCGGGGAAACCAACTGCCGGAGGCGCCTGCGAGCTTGGCAGCGGTGGGGGCGCGGGCACCCTGCACTCCATGATGTTGCCTCACTCTAGAAACGGCTGGGCTGATTCAGGGAATGAGTCGCATTGGCGAGGGTTTCTGGGCAGGGGCTGTTTAGTAGACGCCCACGGAGCGTCAGAGACGCCTCCGAGCGTTGTAAGGGAGTTTATCCGGCCCGAGGCCTAGAAACCACACCCCGGGAAGGGCAGCACAGCCTAGGTCAGGGCCCCAAGCCGAGAGGTCGACATGTGAAGAATTTCCTATACTAGGCGTATTACTTCGGGGGTCCTTATGATAGTAAGGATCCTACTATGTAGGCTAGTCTATGTTCTCAGGGCCCCCCTCCCCTTACTTTCGGAAGATCCCCTGTCGCTTCGCATGTTCAGATGCATGCATTTATCTGCTGTTGCCGCATCCATGTCAGTGTAGTACTCCCACCTTTAAGACAGGCGCTCTTGCTAGACTTGCAGCCATGGGCCGTGCCAAGACGAACATCATGCGTCGTCCTTCCGCTCGCCCTAGAAAGACCTGCCAGAAAGAGCGTCGGGCCAAACGGGACAGCTTCCAGCGTCGTGTGGGGACGCTGCCGCGACACCATGGGTGGCTCATTCATCAAGCAAGCACGGCCGAGGAAGCACTCTCTCTCTCTCAGCGTCTCTCTGCACAAGAAGAGTCTGGTCTCTCGGCAGTCTCAGTGAAGGTCTTGGGCAAGGGTGCGACGCCTGACAGCTGTGTTGTTGAAGTACACAGCACCAAGCCAGGGGTCCAGCTGGCAGACATTCGCAGCGAGATACTCTACCAACGCTTGTGCGAGTTAGAGGCACTGAAGGCCCAGGTTCTAGAGGAGATGAAGCCCATATGGGACATTTTAATCTCACGCAATGTGTTTGTGCAGCTTCCTGATTCTGAGTCTGAGGGCTCGGAGGGCTCGGACTGATCGTACCAACATTCGCAGCGACATACTCTACCAACGCGTCTGCGAGTTAGAGGCACCGAAGGCCGAGCTTCTAGAGGAGATGCAGCCCACATGGGACTTTTTTAACATCACGCAATGTGTTTGTGCAGCTTCCCGATTCTGAGTCTGAAGGCTCGCAGAGCTCGGTCTGATCGTACCAAGTCGGCAGCCAAAGACGTGGGCTTGGCATGCCATGATGTGACAGGATGCGTAGGATGATTATATGACCTTGATGTGATGTGAGGTGATGTGATCACACTCGAAAGCAATACAGTACAGCACAGTATATTAGAGTAGAGTCGAGTACAGTAAAGGGTAGTATAGCCTGGTGTAGTGCAGTCTTGTCTAGTGTGCAATTGGGATTAGTTCAATATGATTTAACATAACCTGCTATGGTATGATAGGATATCGTTTGATATGATATGGCATAACATCATCATGTATGGTATGATATGGTAAGATGTGCTATGATGTGATATTATATGATGTGATGTGGCATGATATGATATGATATGAT